CTTCTATCACATTCTATTAAAAAATCTAATTTTAATCCCCACCAAACACTCTCTTAGTCTAGTTAAAAGAACTTTTAGAGGAAGTTTTTATAATATGACTTCCTCTAGCAGAAAGTTATTTTAAAAATTAATTTTCAGACACTAATTAAGATATAATTTTATTTATTTATTTATTTATTTTAACAAGAAGTAGAAGCAAAATCTGAAGTCTTGTCAAATGAGCACTAATTTATTTTAGTATTTTTGTTTATATTTAAAATATGATTGATGATTTGAAGAACTTTGTGCAATCTTGGAGCCTTATTGATCAATGATAATTTATCACATTTAAAATTGATGTATAGAATGAATAAATTATTATACAATCCCAAAATGTTTCACTAAAATTTAGCCTTTACACTATTCTTAACAAAGGTACAACATGAGGGGTGGTAGTGAAAGGTTTTTTTCCCTTCTATTATTTTATATTCTATCTAATTATATTTTTGTAATAGTCTTTTTAACCAATCTTACAATTAAATAGATGGAAAGTGTAGAAATTTAGTCACAACAAAATCGAAAGGTTAAGATTCAAAAGGTCAAGTGATAAACATATTAGAGATCTCTACTGTGATAGGAGGTTGAATTGATCATAGAAATAAGAATTATAATGAAAATTAGGATATCTCCATTGAAGAGAAACAAATGATAAAAAAATTTCGTACAATCAAGAATGAAAATTTTATATAGTACATGTCAGATCATCTCCACATTAATTGTAGAAACGAACAAAATGTGTCGGGTCTCAATTCAAAAATACAAATGACCCCGAAGTCTAAAAATGGGTTACACATCGCCCTCTCATTGGGGGTATACACGAACTTCATTAGTGAGATGATGAGCACACTATTTATCTTTAGAGAACAACTTAATGATTAGCCAATAAAATTCATTAATCAAAAAGTGAAAATGAGCCCAATCCAGATTTGTGGGACCAAAGGCATGACATAGCAATTAGATGGCCCAACATATGCGATTCGGCCGGTGGCCGGCGCAGCCGAGCAGCGGCACCTGGCTAAGTATGAAATTGTTCACTTTCTAGTTGATCCACTTTGAGTTTTTATACTAATTTTCTTGATAATTGAACATTTAAATAGATGCTTTTGTGAAAAAATAGGCCCATTTTGAAATGTTCTATCTTCTTAAACTATAGAAGAAACAAATATAACGAGAAAACAAGTTCGTCATCACCTTCAAAGTATATATATTATTAAACCTATGTCTGCAAAGGATTTGTAAATAATTTTATTTATAAATAGATAAAATAAGTGTTGAATAAGGAGACAGTACTTGTGAATCAATTAAAATATATAGTTAAAATTAAATTTTGATCATTTATAAATAATTTATAAACTTTGCCAAGCGAAGGGATAAATAGTAAGCTATTAAAATTTATATTTGTTAGTTATTGTTTATTTGAAAAAAAAAAAATCTTTTCAGCGATGAATATTGGGGTCGGATCCGTCTCAAATATATAGTTGAACTACCAAAATGTTTAAACCAATGAACTTTACCAAAGATAAAATAAATAGATAAACTGACTCTTGTCTAACAAATGCAACTTAGATATTACTTTGGAAACCCGGGAGTACATTTTTAAAGTCTATTCGGTCCATCAAAATTATATAGGTTGAGTTTTCTTTTTCTCCTGTCCCAAATATTTAGGTCTATTTCTCAATTTAGAATATTTTGTTTTGTTTCTTTACTAATATACCTGATGATTCCGGATTAGTAACCCCGAACTATACCTGAATTCGAATGCCATGCTCGACCTCGACCTAGTACCCCGAGTTGATCTTAGTGTGTTACGCCGGTTTGAGGTCGGGGTTTCCTTAAGGTCGGGGTCTCTAATCCGACCCTGCCCACCGACCTAATCTCCAAAAGAAGATAGACCCCACCTAAGTCTACTCCTCCCCTGATTAGAACTCTAACAGAATACTTCTAATCAAACTCCAACACCTAATCCTAAGGGGGAAAGGACTCTTTCAATAATAGAATCCTTCTACAGCTCCCCCACCAACACCTATAAATACTTGGCCAATGCTCAACATTAAGGTACGTTTTTCATTATCTTCAGTTTATAGCCTCACGCACTAAATTCCCTATCTGACTTAAGCATCGGAGGGGCGACGAGCACACATCTCGTTGCCTTTGTTGCAGGTATTCACAGACCGATTGTGTTCATCAAAGTGAAGTTGGACCATCAAGCTCGAGATCTTTCAGATGATATTTTTTGGTAGCATCATTGGCGCCGTCTGTGGGAAGCGCTACCAAAAGCCATGGTGAATACACGATTAGGTCTTCCACCAGCAAGCTCATCCACTCCAAATCCTCCCCCTAGAGATCATCCTGTCCCTCAAGAGGAATCATCAGAGATGGCAGCACCGCCACCAGCTGTCATTACCACCGGAGCTTTTGAAGAGCTCCGCCAACAAGTTACCACATTGACTCAGTTATTAAGCCAAAGAAACTCACACCCATCGCATACACCAACACCGGATGGCGATCTTATGGCAACTGCTCGAGCTCGAGCTCCATGAAACATCCCTGATAATGGTGTTGGAACCTCGGGTGTACCTCCTATGACCGCAGCATCAAGGGCAGTAACGATAGAGTCAGGGGAGCTTGCCAGAATCATCCAAGAAGGTATTGCCGCGGGCCTAGCACAGAAATCAAAGGGGATAACAGGCTTTGCCCCTAGCACTCCCTTTACTCCCGAAGTACTGTCCTACTCCCTTCCGGATAGGTTCAAGTACGCCAGGATAAAGGAATATGATGGAACCACTGACCCTATCAACCACCTCAATATATATATACCGATATCATAAACCTACAGGTCGCACCTGACGCTGTAATGTGCAAGGCCTTCCCTCAAACTCTTACAAGCGCAGTTAGAGATTGGTTCTCCACATTAGAGCCAAACTCTATCGCCTCATTCGCAAACTTGGCCGATAAATTCTCCGCTTTCTTCGCAAGCAGCAAGCGAATTAGGAAAACAGCGGCATCACTTATGCAGATGCACCAGGGACCTAATGAAACATTACGCAACTTCATGACCAGATTCAATAAAGAAAGACTTCAGATTCCCTATCTACATATTATAGCTGCGGTCTCAGCTTTGACATACGCTATAAGATGCGAAGCATTCAAGATGTCTTTGTCAAACCCCCCCCAAAGTCAGTAACTGACCTCCTAACTCGAGCTGAGAAATACATCAATATGGAAGAAACTCTAACCCCAAGAAAAGACATTTCACCTTTACTAAGGCCAGACAATAAGAGACCGCGTGAACCCAATCAACGAGACGACAATCCCCGGGTAAAGCAAAGATAAAACCCCCGATCGAAAACTTTTACTCCCCTGAATACATCAAGGTCCAACATCCTGATGGAGATCAAGGACCTCAAAGAGCTTAAGTGGCCTCCCAGAATGCGATCATTACCTGAAAACAGAGACAGAACCAAGTACTGTGACTTCCACCGGGACCACGGACATACCACTTAGGGGTGTTTGGCTCTGAAGGAACAAATTGAGGCCCTTATCAGGAGGGATTTTTTGGGCTCTTACACTAGCCATGAAAAATGCTCGAGGAACAAGCAGAATAACATACATGAAGGGCGTGGTAGTGAACCACCAACAGCTGGCACTATTAACGTTATTATCGGAGGAACAGCTTCAGGAGGAGACACCAACAATGGACGTAAGAAGTACACCAAACAGCTTCCAATCTCTTCCAACACAGATCTTGCTCATACGGAAGATATCACTTCGGGTCCAAGGATTTGGAAGGAATATCCTTCCCCCATGATGACGCCCTAGTCATATCAGCCATTATAGCTAACTTCGAGGTCAAAAGAATTCTTGTAGATGATGGAAGTGCAGCTAATGTACTGTCTCATGAAGCTTTAGTTCAGATGGGTATCTCAGTGGAACAACTCAAGCCTGTTAAAACACCCCTCCAAGGATTCGGTGGCGGGGTCATCACCCCTGAAGGTATTGTTGAATTACCCATGACTTTGGGATCTGAAGGTCGGCAGGTAACCCATATCGTAACTTTCGAAGTTGTCCGACTCCGATGGCCTACAACGCCATTCTGGGAAGACCGTTGCTAAATAAAATCAGAGCTGTTATCTCAACTTTTCACCTGGCAATGAAGTTCCCCACATATAGTAGAGTTGGGGTCGTCCGAGAAAGCCAAACCATGGCTCGCCAGTGTTATGTGACCAGTGTCCAAAAAATAAAGGGCGACGTCATGCAGCTTACAGAGATCGAGCTTGAGCTTGAAAATCGTGGGAGACTTGCCCCGATAAAGGAGCTGGTCGAGGTCGAGCTCGTGCCTGGTAGGAAGGTGACGGTAGGGCGTGACCTTGATTCAACCATCATGGCTAAACTCATAAGTTGTCTCTCCCAGAACCAAGACGTATTCGGATGGACAGTTGAAGACATGCCTGGAATTGACCCCGAGGTTGCCGTATACCGGCTCAATGTAAGCCCAGGAGCCAAACCTGTCAAACAAAGGAAAAGACAGTTTGCACCCGAACGGCGTGAAGTCATACGAGAAGAGATTGCCAAGCTGCTCAATGCACAATTCATCCGAGAAGTACAATATCTTGACTGGCTCGCCAATGTAGTTCTCGTAAAAAAAGCCAATGGAAAGTGGCGAGTTTGCATTGACTTCACTGATTCGAACAAAGTATGTTCGAAAGATAGCTATCCCCTACCCCGGATTGACAGTCTCGTTGACAGCACTTCGGGTCACAAATTGTACAGCTTTTTGGACGCATTCTCAGGGTACCACCAAATACCAATGAACACAGAAGATCAAGAGAAGACCTCATTCATGGCAGATTCCGCCATCTATTGTTATAAGGCCATGCCATTCGGCTTAAAGAACGCAGAGGCTAATCAACAAGGTCTTTGCTGATTTAATTGGAAAAACCATTGAGGCTTACGTAGATGACATGGTGGTCAAAAGTAAACAGGTGGATGATCATATCACCGATCTTGAAGAAGTGTTTTCCACGCTACGAAAATACAACATGAAGCTCAACCCAACAAAATGTGCCTTTGGGGTAGCATCAGGAAAGTTTCTAGGTTTCATGATCACAAATAGAGGAATAGAAGCCAACCCTGACAAGATCCAAGCCCTAATATCTATGGAAGCCCCAAAGAGCAAAAAGGACATCAAAAAGCTTACAGGTCGGATAGCAGCATTGAACAGATTTGTCTCTCGAGCAGCAGATAGATGTTTCCCCTTTTTCAAAGTTCTAAGAGGCCACAAGAGTTTTTAATGGAATGACGAATGCGATCTAGCCTTCCAACAACTTAAGCAAACTTTAGCTGTACCTCTGGTTCTTGCCAAACCAGAGCCTGGTGATACTTTGTTCCTTTACTTGGATGTTTCTCAAAATGCCGTAAGTGGGGTACTAGTAATGGAAAAAGGAAGGGTGCAACAACCCATCTACTATGTCAGTAAAGTACTTCTTGACACCGAAACTCGGTATAACCTTGTGGAACAGTTAGCTCTTGCCTTGATAGTAACTGTTAGAAAGTTGCGACAATATTTCCAATCTCACCCCATAATAGTTCTCACCAATCAACCACTTAAACACATACTTCAGAGGCCAGATGTCTCAGGAAGGCTATTAAAATGGGCGGTCGAGCTTGGCGAGTTCGACATAGAATTCAAGCCTCGACCTTCCATCAAAGCACAGGCACTGGCCGACTTTATAGCTGAACTTACTCCAAAGACAGAAAGGCTAGAAGTAAAAAACCCGAGCATAACCTCAAAAACCTGGGAGATATTTGTTGATGGGGCATCGAACAGCTCGGGCTTGAGGGCCGGGATCATCATCATCAGCCCGAACAAGACCACTGAAGTTCAGTGTGCGCTTAGGTTTGAGTTTGAAGCAACCAACAACGAAGCGAAATATGAAGTTGTGGTCATTGCTCTCAAACTTGCCAGGAATTTGGAATTAGAGCACATCAGAGTCTTCAGCGACTCACAGCTCGTTGTTGGACAGATCGAAAGATCCTTTGAAAGAAATGATGAGCTCATACTATCTAAAAGTGCATGACCTTCAAAGACAGTTCACAAGTTGTGAAATACTGAAAATAGCAAGAGCAGATAACTTCAAAGCTGACGCACTATCCAGACTTGTTTTCATGAGGATAGATGGACTCGACAGAACAGTGCACATCAAGATTGTCACAGAGCCTAGCATAAACATGAAGCCGAGCGTCATGGACATTGACCATGAGCCCTCCTGGATTGATCCAATAGTTGAGTATATAAGTAATGGAGACCTACCTCGTGACCCTCGCGCCGCAAGAAGTATTCGAGCCAAAGCTGCTAGGTATTGCATTATCAGAGGGGTGCTGTTTCGACAAAGTCTCACGCTCCCCTATCTGAGATGCCTAAAGCCTTCCGAGTCTCTCCAAGCCCTGACTGAGGTTCATGAGGGAGTATGCAGAAATCACCAGGGAGCCAGGGCCCTTGCCTACAAATTAATAAGGTATGGGTACTACTGGCCAACTATAAAAAAAATGCAGCTGAATATGTCAAAAGATGCGACAAATGTCAGAGGTTTGGTAACGCTATACATGCCCCTGCAGAAGAGTTGACTTCTATCCATTATTCAGCACCATTTGAACAATGGGGAGTTGACATCCTTAGTCTTTTCCCCATGGCACGAGGACAATTAAAATTCACTGTGGTAGCAGTTGAGTACTTTACAAAATGGGTAGAAGCCGAACCCCTAGCAAAAATATCAGAGGCCAAGCTCAGATCATTTATATGGAAGTCTATTATATGTAGGTTCGGAATACCCAAAGTACTTATAACAGACAATGGAAGGCAGTTCGACAATTCACAATTCAGAAACTTCTGTGTCAATCTCGGTATCGACCATCGTCTGACATCAGTATAGCACCCTCAAAGCAATGGCCTCGCTGAGGTGACAAATAGAATCATACTTCAGGACCTTCGCACCAAGATTGAAAACGCAAGAGGTGACTGGCCCGATGAGTTGCCCTCTATACTATGGGCATATAGAACTTCTCATAAAACAGCAACAGGGGAGACTCCTTTCATGTTAGCTTTTGGCTTAGAGGCCACTATCCCCATTGAAGTCAGTCTCCCCACTTTAAGAAGGGTTGAACCCGGCATGGAAGACCGAACAACCGAACATCTTGACTTGCTTGAAGAAGTAAGAGAGCAAGCTTCACTGAGAGCTGCTAGTTACCAAAATAAAACAGCAAAGTATTTCAACACCAAAGTCAAATCCCGAGAATTTAAGAGTGGCGATTTGGTTCTAAGAAGAGCAGAGGCTGCTGGACACCCTCCAGGTAAACTTGGACCAGTATGGGAAGGGCCATTTAAAGTCATACGAAGGATCAAAGGAGGAGCATACAGCCTTAGAGATACTTCAGGAAATCCACTCCTAAGGCCTTGGAACGTGGATAACCTAAAAATATATTACAACTAGAATAGCAATAGCGTCACACAAGGGCTTGCACGCCCGCCTCATTTTCGTTTTTAGTAGCTCGGGTCTATGAACCCTTGAGCCCGAGCTACGAACCCTTGAGCATTTTTTGCTTTTAAGTAGCTCGGGCTAAGTACCCTTGAGCACCTAATAATATTCAAAGTTTTCTTTTCCTAGCACTACTTAAACTTTGACATAATGACGTGCTTTGGGCATGCAGCCACTTTAACATTAGTGTAATGACGTGCTACGGGCATGCAACTAATAACCTTGGCATAATGACGTGCTTCGGGCATGCAACTAAACTCTAGCATGATGACATGCGGGCATGCTGCATAATACAACTCGAGGTCATGAACCCCGAACTAGTTTGCATCTAAAATCAATAACGGATAAGTTCGGGGTCGGGCCTATTGACATGATAAAAATCAAACACGACCTTGAACTCATCATCTGAACTAACTTTCAAGCCCCTAAGTTCGACATCGACGACTACATCAAGAATCGAGCTAAGATATGCCTGGTGTTTAAGGTCAAAGTGTTGATCGAATTGAGCCCCATGCCTGACAAAACACCCCGAGCTAAAAAAGGCCCAAGTTATAGCAACTAAAAAGCTCGAACTCATCATCTGGTTTGACCTTTGGGCCCAATGACAACATCAAGGATCGAGCTCGTGCATGCTTGATGTTCAACACCGAAGCGTTGATCTAGTCCAAAAGCATTGTGTTTGTGTTGTGCATTGAAAACAAATAGAACACATGTGCACGAACATTCATCATTAAATTAAAAACATAGTGTGCACGAACATTCATCAATTAAAAACAAAGTAATGTGAACGAACATTAATCATTAAAATTAAAAACAGAGTAAAGTGCGCGAGCATTTGTCGATGAAATTAATAGCAAAAGTATCAGCCCAGTTCGGGCAATATTACAAAAAATTTTAAAACAAAGTTAAAAACCTAATCGATATCTACAACCCTGACATCATCCCCTTGATCGCCAGTCCCGGCGTCATTTCCATCACCATCATCATCATCTTCACCGTCGCTCGACCTCAGAAGCCGAAAGTTCGAGCTCCCCTACGAGCTCGTTCACTGTCTTCAAGTCCTCGACGAGGGACTTTAAATCCTCAAGCATCTTTGTGCGAAGATAAGAGCGGGCAAGGCGACGCCTGTAATGGTAAGAGCCCGACCCGTACTGTCCCAACAGGGTCCCAAACTCGTCGAACTTCTTGAAGTCTTCAACAGCCTGAGCTCGAGCCTCCTCACGAGCCTTTGCGAGCTCTTTCCCAAAGCTCCTCTGGGACTGGAGAAGCTCGAGCTTAACTTCCTCGACCTCAGCCTTGGATGTCTCCAGTTCCTCTCGGGACTTCTTGAGGTTAGCCTCAGTAGTCTTGAGAGCTTTTTCCAGGTCACGAGCTCGCTTTTCAGCTCGCTCCTTTTCCTTTAAAACCTCGTCCATTTCGTTCGAGATATTGATACCATTCAAGGTAAGACCTCGCGCCACACTCAGCGTCTGCACAAAGAAAGAAAGGAAGTCCGAAGTCAGTTCGATCAAAGAATAAAAAATACAAAAATATAGTTAAGGTCGGTATCTTACCCTTAAGGTCAAAGCCTCCAGTGTCTTGACCCCTTCATTGATGTTGACCTCCTTCTCGAACCTTTCAACAAGGTCCTTCACCAGGACACACTTCGTGTATTCCTCGAGGGCACTATCTAAAATAAGCTCGAAGCCTGAATCCGCGACGCCATAACTGCCCCTAGCTCGATCTTCATATTTCGACTTCGGACGAGGCGTTGAGGTCGGGCTCCTTGACGTCGAGGGCTGACCTTTAGGAGGCACCGAGCTCTCAAGATGAACCTCAGGAACCCTAACATCGGCGTGCCTGGCCCTTTTCTTTCCCTTTTTTGAGGCCGGGCCTTTGGACATCGGCTCCTTAGCCTTATGGTGGACATTGGCCAGCAATTTGGACGAATCAAAAGACATCTCTAGATCTGCAAGAAACAAATCACAAGGCATTAGCACGATCTCGACGTCAAGAATACAACGATAGAGCTTAAAAAGTAAAAAAATACCCTCGAGGCCTTTTACATTTGCAAGGTCGAGGGTGTCATCCTCGAGCAAATAATCAATCTTTTGTGCCAAGGGGTCGTGGTTAACTAACCTTAATCTGTCCCTCTCTAGAACCTCAAAATACGCCTGACCCTCATTAAACCGATCCTTACTAAGGATCTCCCACCTCGGGCTAAAAGGATGGTCGGGATCCTGGGGCTTTACAAAGAAAAATCTCTCTTTCTAACCCCGAAGAGAGCTCGGGGTATCAGGCGTTCTAAACCCCCCCTTTGTTGACAAATACACAAAACAGTTGAACCCCGGCGAACACTTCATATCATACACCATCCTCAGAAGGTCGACCCTAGGCTCGATATCGAGGCATCTACATAATATAAAGAAATAGACCAAAAGCCTCCAACCGTTAGGAGCCAACTGGCCTGGACACATATAGAACGAAGTTAAAAAGTGGATAAAAAAGGGGTGAAGAGGCCAACGCATCCCAGCCTTAAGGGCATCCCTAAAAAACGTCATCTCCCCCTCTCGAGCTCTTAAGATATCTTCGGGATTCTCAGGAACCCTAACATCACAAATGGGCATCACCCCGAACTCTCTAGCTATCTTAATAATTACATGTTCTTTATAAATGGTCGGGTTCTTTGGATAAGTCAATACCTCTCCTGGAGAGTGCGAACTAACAGGAAAGGCCAGGGTAACAAGATCTCGACTTTGATCACCCGGAGTCTCGACAGCTATACTAGGGGCAGTAGGGTTCTCATTATCCCCCGAACTTTTAGAAAGCCTACTACTGTCACTATTACTCGACCCCTTACTACTACTACTACCACTACCACTACTGCTACTGCTCGACATTACTCTACTCAAATAATTAACAACTTAAAGGCTCGAACTCTTACCTTAATGGAGATTGCTCACAACCCACTATCCCCGAACTCGAGCTTCTTTTACAGAGAGTGGAGAGTAAAAAGTGAAAAAGTGAAAAAGAATAGTGGGGTATTTATAGGGGTCATGGGCATACCAACAGTCACTTAATCTAAAACCCTTAAAACAGGACACGTGGCAAAGATCCAAGTTCAAGCTCTGACAACCAGCCACATGACAGACACGTGATATAGTATATCTCCAACAGGTAATTGATAGGTGTCGAGGTCGATATCAAGTCGCGACATCCTTTTTGCATCTCAATCCAAGATCGTATACCCTTCACGATCTACAACTCAGATGCACGGGGGCCTATGATGATTCCGGATTAGTAACCCCGAACTATACCTGAATTCGAATGCCATGCTCGACCTCGACCTAGACCTAGTACCCCGAGTTGATCTTAGTGTGTTACGCCGGTTTGAGGTTGGGGTTTCCTTAAGGTCGGGGTCTCTAATCCGACCCTGCCCACCGACTTAATCTCCAAAAGAAGATAGACCCCACCTAAGTCTACTCCTCCCCCTGATTAGAACTCTAACAGAATACTTCTAATCAAACTCCAACACCTAATCCTAAGGGGGAAAGGACTCTTTCAATAATAGAATCCTTCTACAGCTCCCCCACCAACACTTATAAATACTTGGCCAATGCTCAACATTAAAGTACGTTTTTCATTATCTTCAGTTTATAGCCTCACGCACTAAATTCCCTATCTGACTTAAGCATCGGAGGGGCGACGAGCACACACCTCATTGCCTTTGTTGCAAGTATTCACAGACCGATTGTGTTCATCAAAGTGAAGTTGGACCATCAAGCTCGAGATCTTTCAGGTGATATTTTTTGGTAGCATCAATACCCTTATTCAATTTTTCCCACTTAATATGTCAATTTCTTGAAATTATTCAAATACACATATTTCCTACTTCTTGAAAACATGAAACAACTTCCATTTCTTCTTCTTCAAATTAAATCATTCAAATTTTTCACTAAGGGCTGTTTGATAGCCCTTTATTTTCTAGGGAAAATGGAAAACGAATTATAATTTTCGCTTTTTGCCTGTTTGATTGACAAAATTTTTCAAGGAATTCGTTTTCCACCTTTGGCCGGCACGTCAACATTTTTCATCTTTTTCTTGAATTCGAGAATTCTCACCATACGTTTTTCTGGTTATTGTAGCGATTTTTTTTTTTTTTTTTTACAATGGAAACAAATTCTAAAAATTATTGTAAAAATTTTTATCCCTTTAATTGACAATTTTCATATAAAACAAAGCCAAAATAACACCAAAAAATAGATGATTTTTATTTTTATTTTTTGGCAATGGAAACAAATTCCATTCCTAATACCAGTAAATTATATCCCTTTAATTGACAATTTTCATGTAAAGCAAAGTCAAACGAATACCAAAAAACACTTTCATTTCAACATTTTTCAGGTGAAAAATTATACCAATCAAACACAATATTTTACAATTCCCGGAAAAATAATTTTCAGGCAATTCAATTCTCTTAAATTTGTTTTCTTTCCACTCAAATTTCATCTTTACAATCAAACGGACCTTAATTTTAACAATAATTCACTACTACATACTGAAAATAAAATAAGGATAAATTAGAAAAGATTTTGGTAAAAATTAATTTTCCAATGATATTAAAGAAGATTTCTTAATCCGTGTGAAAAACAAAATACGTCTGTACAATTAGAACGATTGGAGTACTTTCATGAATTAATTATATGATTAATGACATTAGCAAGCAATTTAGCATTTTTTAAATTACAGCAATTAATAAATTTGAATAAGATAATATGTTCCTGTTGCTTAAGTTCCACGGCGAGAAGTCTTCCATTGAGATAATTAAGAATAATGGTTATTACAAAGTCGACAGTTTTATATGGTATATATTAATCGTCATGGTCTTTGACCTCATTCCACCGCCTACTTCTCTTTGTTGCCCCACTAAACCAATAGATGATAGGAATGAAAGAACTTGTGTGGTTTGAGTATTTACGCGTAATTTAATTATAATTATTGTTTATAGAAGACTAACTCCTCTTGGAATCTGTTTGTCTCTTAATTAATACTTATCTTGTTTTGAATTTTCGACAAGACAATAAATGGACAATTTTAGCGTGTACTTGTGTTATTCGCTACACATATTATAGCGCTAAAGAATATCAAAATTGAAAAGAGAGAATTATGGATAGAATCAATTTGTCCGTCGCTTTAATTCACAGCGATATTATTATTATTATGTGACGATTGAACTTTCTCTGTCTTGAATAAGTCAATTCGTGTTATGAAGTGTAGTATAAGTTGATTAAGGGTTCATTTGACATGACATTTACTTTTAATTTTATTTCATGTTGAAGAGTTTTCTAAAGAAGTTATCTTAATTTTTGTTCGAAAATTATTATTATTTTTTTAAAATTCATCTTTTTGAATTACTTCTATAAAATTATATTAAATCATTTTTTTTCATAAATTCTTATAATTATAAGAAGTGCTTTCATAGAAATAGTCAAACAACTTTTAAATCTAAAAACTTCTTGAAACACACGTCGAAATGGAGAGCAGGAGTTGGAATATTACTCAACTTCAAATTGACAAGGTTTTAAGACAATTTAATACCACTCCTACCAAATACAGACAGCTAATGCCTAGTTGGTATGGTCAATACAAAACACACTATTTATTTTAAGAATAATGCTTGTGGTACATTGAGGTGTCCAAAATGGACATTCGACGCCTCAATATTGGTCGAGGTGTCTGTGGGTCCCGACGTGGCAGGCGTCTAAGCATTGGCCAAGGAGCCATAGGGTGTGCCAAGGAGCCATGGACACTCCGTTGGATATCACAACGTACCCATAGCATAATTGTTTTTTTAAAGTATTGCTATCTAATTTCACTGGAATTGCAATCTTATTTTAGATGACACTAAATGATAGATTAAATAAATGATTTATTTAATTTACATATTAATTAATGTCACATTAACGCTATTTAGATTGAGATTGTAATTTTGGTGGGATTAAATAATATTACTCTTTATTTTATTATTGTTTTTGATAAGAATGAGGATATTTTCGTCATTTTCAGGTTGGAATACCAAAAGTTCAAATGAACTGAAATACCGAGACAGGTGCCGATTTTTTTTCCTGCTCCATTACATTGTGACCTCTCCTTCTTCCTCTGTCTCTCTCTCTGTCTCTACGACTACATGATTATTTTCTTCTTGAAAATAACAAACCCCATTATTTCTCAATATATAATTGCAAAGTAGATCAAGCTTGCAATTTTTATTCAATAATTTTGAAGCAAAAACGATACATCAACGAATTCATCTTCTTTAATTAATCTCTACTTCACCTACAAACCAAATACTGAAAGCTGCGTTTCAACCTCTTTCTCCGCTACTTGTATCTCTTGAGAGGTTTAAGAGAGAGGGAAATGAATATTATTGATTCCAAAACACCTTACAGGAGCAGAGGCTTCTACGTGAGGATGAGGTTTTTCCACAACCCTAGATACAGTAGAAACCCAGAGAAGAGCTTTTGGTACAGATTTTTCAAATGGATTCTTTGGTTTTCTCTTGCATTTTACTTCTTTTCTTCTTTCCTTATTACCCACACCACGCCCACCAACTTTATTTCAAAAGCAATCGTTTCTCCTTCAAAAGCTAGTCGTGCTCTCATTGAAGAATCATCCTTCAAATCTTCCACTCTCCAAGAACCCAAAAGCCCCCAAGGTACACAAAAAGTTATAGCATTTTTTAACATATTGATATTGCTGCCTGGAAATAATAGATTGTTATCTCATGATTTTATTTCAGGTTTGTTGAAGGGGATGAAGGTGTATATCTACGATATGCCATCGAAATACAACAGTGACTGGTTGTCAAATGAGCGGTGCAGCAACCATTTGTTTGCGTCGGAGGTGGCTATTCACAAAGCTCTGATGAATAGCGATGTAAGAACATTGGAGCCACGGGATGCTGACTTTTTCTTCGTGCCTGTTTACGTGTCTTGCAATTTTAGCAAGGTCAATGGCTTCCCAGATATTGGTCACGCACGGCCTCTTATATCCTCCGCCGTTCAATACATTTCCACTCAGCTTCCGTTTTGGAACCGCAGCCATGGCTCTGATCACGTTTTTGTTGCGTCCCATGATTTTGGTTCTTGTTTTCATACCATGGTATGTAAAAATTATTTCTGTTTTTATGCAAGAAACCAATTTTTGCTGTATAAGGTTTGATGGATAAATTTGCAGTTTCAATTTATTCACAGGAGGATGTGGCGATGGCTGATGGTGTGCCTGAATTATTGAGGAATTCCATAATATTGCAAACTTTTGGAGTCAAATATAAGCACCCATGTCAAGACGTGGAGAATGTGGTGATTCCACCTTATGTTTCGCCGGAAGATGTACGGTCCACCTTAGAGAAGTCCCCCTTAACGGGCCGGCGTGAAATTTTTGCGTTCTTTAGGGGCAAAATGGAAGTCCACCCCAAAAATATCAGCGGTCGTTTTTATAGCAAGTACTGGTTCATTCAATACTTCAACAAAACCATTTCTTTCTAATTACTGTTTTCACGCGATATGACAATGTTAACCCTTTCTTCCAGGCGGCTGCGGACGGCGATATGGCAGAAATATGGCAATAACCGGAGGTTTTATTTACGGAGACACAGATTAGCAGGTTACCAGTCAGAGATTGCGAACTCAATCTTCTGTTTGGCCCCATTGGGGTGGGCTCCTTGGAGTCCTAGACTTGTAGAATCAGTTGTTCTTGGATGTGTCCCGGTCATTATAGCTGATGGCATCCGGTTACCCTTCCCCTCAGCTGTACCGTGGGCGGAGATATCTCTAACGGTGGCGGAGAAGGATGTGAAAAAATTGGGAAAAATCCTTGAACATGTCGCAGCCACCAATCTCACGACAATACAGAAAAACCTGTGGGACCCAAATGTTAGGACGGCTCTACTTTTCAACAATCCAATGGAAGAAGGCGACGCCACATTCCAAGTTCTTGTGGCCCTATCCGAGAAGCTAGACAGGTCCCACAAGAGGTCAAAGGTTTTAAGCCAATGAAGCTATGAAACATGGCAGGTTTTGATTGGGTAAAATCTGGCAGATATATGGCTCTTTTCTGACGTGGATGAAGAGAGTAGGGGCTATGTACAGTTGGGGACAGCTGTGAATTATTGGACTGCTCACAAAATGTGGGGCCCGGGATTTCGTACAGAATGTGCCACATAGGATCGTACAGCTGAGTTGGTTTGATGTGATCGAACGTAGCTCCCTTGGCCTGAGGGGATAGAGGAATGGTTTTTTGGTGAAAATTTTTTGTTGATAATTTTTATATATTTAAACTAAATAAGAGTATTATTACAATTGTGCAAAGAAATGCGTTCTGAAGTGGTCCCCTCTCTGTCTCTGTCCTATGTACTTGCACCATCACTTGTTTGAAGGAATTCGACGGGTTGGTTAGGATATTTACAGCAAGGTCGTGACATTTCCAACCAGGAAAAATGCTAAAGATTCCGGGATAAAATCCCAGGATTCCGTCCGGGGGCCGAGGTGGAAAAAGCAGCGGGCCCTGAGTGTGTGAAGATCCAAAGTCGAAATGCTGCCACCTCGACCCTGGAACGGAACTCGAGATTTCTGAAGCATAATTCTTCCAACCAATTTGTTTTTTTTTTCTGTCTTTGAACCTGAACAAATATTATATTCTTTCTTTTTTATGTTGTTCGTATTCTGATTTCGACCTCGTCAATTAAGTATTAACCCAAGGCCTAGCTTGGTCCAGATGAGTGCACTATGTTGATGGTGCCAGCTTATCTGCTATTCAAATTAGAAAATGAGATTATTCTCTGTGCAAAAAGTATATTAGAAATTCGTCGTTTTTCTTTCCCTTTTTCAAACTTTGGACTGTCATAAATTTATGGTAATTAATTAATGCAATGTAGTCTGGGAAGCCGGGCGGTGGCAGACAAGATTTAGAGGAGCCACAGGGTGGCACAGTTGAATTGTGTCAGATCTTTAAATGGGATGCCATTTGAATTAGTTAAAAAATTTGTTCATAGGCACCCGTTCACAGCGCATTTATAGAAAAGAAAAATTCATTATTGACAAAGTTACTTTTGTCAAAAAATTTCTAGCCTATCCTCCGTCCCATTTATACCAATTAATTCATCGTGAAATCTTATTTAGAGGGTGATAGAGACACATTTTCATGTAAAAATGTATTTTAGAATAATAAATTGATGAGAAATATGTGGTTGAAAAATAATAATTTTTTTATTTACTTGTAATATTATTTTAATAAAGAATGTGTGGTTGAAAAGAAAAGAGAAAAAATATATTTTGAAAAAAATGTGTACCAAACGGGACCTTAATATTATTAAAAAATAACTTTTCTAGTCTATCCTTATTATATTTTTACAATTTCAAAATTGTAAGTGTTGAAAATTGGCTATAATTAAACAAATTAAATAAGGGTATAATAGTAAATAAACAAAGCAAAACATTCTCATAAAGAAACGACTATCGAGACTAATGAAACTCTCTTTGAATTTTTATTTGTGAATAGAGTTTTTATGGAATACAATTCAAATCAAAGGAAGCCTATATAAATGGAAAGAAGGAAGTTTAAAATTAACAGATCTAAAAATATATGGTACAACTAACAATTGGTTGGACATTATCTCAAATATAACTATATAAGTAATATGGCGATGCAAGAAGCTGCTTCAATGAAAGACACCAAACTTTGTCCAACGAAGTTTAAATGGTTGGCGTGAGTGGGTTCTTGCCAACTGGTCGTTGGTTGAGATGTGTATAGATAGAGAAATAATGCTATTATGTATCACTGACGTCGAATATCAATTGAGGTGCTCCTATGAATATTAATTCCTTAGATTTAATTAAATCCGTAATTTAATGCCATTGTAATCTAGATTGGTATTAAATATCAGACACATTGTGCTAAATAATATTACTTTATAAAAAGACTCTTATATTCATTGGTGGAGACTATATTTGGAAATGCAATGAAAATCAAATTTGATATGTTTCCTCCATGAATGAAAAAATGGAATTGGTGAATCGATGTCGCTACATTATCACAAAATATGACCGGTTGTTGAGTAAGTTTATGTACTTGTGGCAACAGCTCGCTTTCCGCTTTAATTGATGATCGAGCAACATATATATGCATTTTTAGCTCCATGAAGTCGGATTGTGACCAAGAAGCGACACATAAGCACTAGTTTGTACATTCGATTCCCAGTAGACAAATTCAAGTGAAAGAGTATAATAAAGATTTACACCTATCAATCTAATAACAAAAATCAAGAGCATCATTTGCAAGATATTAAATCACACACAATTTGTTTATTGATGTACCCCATGAATTTTTTCTTTGATTTCCATGTCCCAAATCTAGTTTTAAGGGCATCTCCAACCCTTTCACCATATCCACCAAATTTTGGTAAAATCCCTCTAATGCAACACCAAATTTTGTACCATTTTGGTGCATGTGGTGCAAGTAAATAGTGTTGCATGCACCAAAATGGCTAATGTCATTTTTGCCATTCTTTTCCGTTTTGCACCAACTTTTGTTAAGACTATTTGTCACTTTCTTATTATACAACAAATTTAATTCTTAGTTAATTATTATTACAATTATAATTATTATTTTTAATTCTATGATTATATTGTTGTTGTTGTTATTATTATTTAATATTTTCTTAGTTGTGATTTTTCTATTAATTATACTACATTCATTAAATTTAATAATGAATTCACTATTTTTGTTAAGGAAACATAATTATCTATTTAATAAATTATGAAGTAGTAGATTAAATAAATAAATAATTTTCATATAAAAAAATCATTAAGAATGAAGAAAATGATTAAACACTAGTTATTTGGTGCAGCTTTTTGTTTAATGGGTTAGAGATGATTTTTGGTTTGGTGCAAATTTTGACCTAAGGTTGGAGATGGTCCAATCATTCAATTATGGGGCATGGTAACTGAAAGTATGCCATTTACTACGTAGCACTAGTCTTCAATGTGATGAGGACATCCCAGTTTTAATTATTTTAGTTGGACTTTTATTTCTTAGTTGGACTTGGGTTATTTTATTTTTATGGACTTGTGTATTGGGCTTGGCCTTATCTTTTAGATTTGCAGTATTTTCAGTATTTAAACTTACTTTATATTGTAATTGAGACAATGAATTGATTGAATAAAAAGTTGGCTGCAGCCCCTGTTTTCTCCCTCCCCCCTCTTCCCCTGGTTCTTCTCCTCTTCTCCCTTCTATCTCGTAATTTTCTGTCCACTTTCTTCTCGCTCTCCTCCCCTTCTTGTTTTATCCTACATCAAATTGGTATTAGAGCTAAATTTGGGTAAGACTTCGTCTACAAAATCGATTTATACACACAGGTCAATCTGCAGCAACTCTCGTCATTGTCTTCACTCAAACACAACAACCCACAGCCAAAGTTTGTCCACGCAGCCGCCACAACAACACCTAGTTTGCTGCGAAACCCAGTCACTCCCTACGACCTTCTACATACGACCATATCACTGGAATTACATCCAAACAAAACACCAAGCCGCCGCCGACCATGACTCCAAACGGGCCGCTTCAGTTCGCCAATTGTACCAGCAATTACCACCACAGTCCAACACCCAAAATCGCACTATGGAAATAACCCTACAGTCCCTGCAAACTCAACGCGACACCCACGATCGACCCAACGCACCCCACATCTTCATCCAATTGCCGCCCACAGTAAAATCGCAAAACCACCACACAAAGCAAACCACCCAAGCTGCAAATTGACCCAACCGTCGCGACCGCCATTACCGCTCGCGACACCCAAAGCCCCAACCACCATGACACCACTCGCCTGAGCTTACCGCAGTCAGCGACGGCCAGTCGCCCACTTTTTTGCCACCGGTCAATCCCTGTCTTGGTTTGTAATTGGGCCTCACTCATTTCTGCCTTTGGAGAGTTAAGCCTCAGTTTGTTTAAGGGTTTTAATAAATATACAGTGGGATTCGAGTGATCTTTGGACCATCTACTTTTATTTTTTTGTTGGGTTGGGCTTCAGATTGTAACATGTTTGTTTCTAAGAGTATTGTTTGATTTATTAAAAAAAAAAGTAAAAAAATATATATATTCGAGAATTTTGAGAATTTCCTGACATTATTTTACAGGTACATTATTTTCTCGACGAACACGGAATTTTCTATCTTGGCATCTCAGCTCCTAACAGTTCAGAAAGTGGAGGTATTCGACGCTGGGATGACTCAGGCCAACTGAACTCAGGGAGCCTCTGCTCCTATCTATTTTTTTGTGACACTGTTATTGTTTTTTAGAATTGCATCAATTAATTCTTTGTATTGCTAATATTTTGATAATTTTAGCCTTAAATCTATTGGATTGAAATTCACGAACCGACCCATTGTTCACTCGTTTACCCCACGTGACTAGACCTAGCATTTGTACCTTTACTTTTTATTCTATTGGCATTAGTAGTTTTAGCTTGTGATCGGGCCATACGTAATCCCTAAAATAAAATAAAATAATAATAATGACAATAGATAAATTTCAGTCACTATTATCTTTGTTGGCACTCGTTGGTTATTGATCTCAGTAGTGCACTTCACTTAGCTTGTGTTACTGTGTATGTAATTGTGTAGTGGTCGAGTTACTGCGTCTAGTGCTAGTACCCTTACCATGGACCCTTCCCACATTGAAGCTATCACCCAACAGTTGGCACAATTACAAAACCAATTAACGGCTGTCCAAACTGAGTTAGCCGCTACTCGTGAGGAGAATAGAGCCCTAACCGCTAGTGTAAACACTCCCGACCCAACCCAATACTCAACTGAAGCTGAAAATTCTGACGCTTCCATTAATAGACCTCATCGTCGTCCACAAGGTGGTCGACACCATGCTAGACATGATCGAAGGGAGGGAAATCAAGCTCATGGACGCGAGCGGGAATATCACCGTCATGGTACACTATCTCCCCCTCGCCACGAGGAGCGCCTCTTTCGAAATATTAAGTTAGATGTCCCTACATTTGATGGTTGTCTAGATCCTAGTGTATTCAATCAATGGGTTAGAGATATGGATCGCTTCTTTGCCTGGTATGGGGTCCCTGAAGATCGGAGGGTACAATTTGCCAATTTGAAATTAACTGGTACAACTCAACTGTTTTGGGAAAGTGTTGAGGACCTCCTAGAGAGGCGCCATGCTCCCCCTGTTGGGAACTAGGATGAAATGAAGCGCCGCCTTGAAGAAAAATATTTACCTCAATCTTACAGGGGCAACTTACTGGATCAATGGAACGCATTTACGCAAGGCAGTCGACCTGTGATCGAATATGTTGCTCAGTTTGACGAGTTTCAAATGAGATGTCAAGTCGTTGAGGATGAAGTCATGACCTTGAGTAGGTTTAAGCAAGGCCTACAGGATGATCTTAGACGTGAGCTTGTTCTTAGAGGTGTCACCACTCTTGACCACGCCTACTCTTTCGTTCGGGATTACGAGTTAGTGACTAGGACACCGTACAGAAGTCGTAGTGACTCCCGCACTGCAACCTCTTCTGCATCCACTCCATCCCCTAAGTCTATTTTAGGATCTCCTCCTTCTAATACTACCCCTACATCGGATAGTAAAGGTAGAGGTTCTAAGGTTTCAAGAACGTCCTCTCGTTTGCAATGCTTCAACTGTAAGGATTTTGGTCACATTGCTTCTAAGTGTCCTAGCCGAACTTTAGTTTTGGAAGAGCGTAAAGGTATAGTTGACGAGCCACTAGAGGATCAGGTTTATGAGCCTAAGTTAGAAGAGTTTGATGACTTGGAGGATAGTGAAGATACCTTCTTGGGTTGTATTCAGGCTAGTCCCCTTATCCCACATACGCCTAGAGTCGGTGTCGTCCGTTGTACTCTTACTCAGCCTAGGGATGCCGATGATTGGCGCCGTCATGCCATCTTCCACACTTACATCAAGATTAATAATAAGGGCTGTAAAGTTATCGTGGATAGTGGCAGCTGCATTAATGCTGTTTTGATGGCTACTGTATCCCGTCTAGAGTTGAAGTCTATTCCTCACCCTCAGCCATACAGCGTCTCTTGGGTTGATACCTCCTCCATAGCTATCAAGGAGCGTTGTTTAGTCCCTATCTAGTTTCTCGAGTATAAGGACCATATATGGTGTGACGTCATTTCAATGGACGTCGGGCACATCATCTTGGGACGACCTTGGTTATTTAACCTAGATGTAACCATCTATGGTCAATCCAATTCCTGCTCCTTCGTGTTTAATGGAAAGAAGATTCACCTTAACCCACTGCCCCCAAAGCCTGCTGGCCCACTGGAAACGAAGAAAAGTGTGGAACGAAAGGGATTGCACATCATTAGTCCTACGGAGTTTGATCGTACACTTGTTGGTGACTCAGTTGTGTTCGCTTTGGTGGTCGTGGAGGTTCCATCCCACTCCACAATAGAGAGCCCTGTTGAAGTCCTGTCGGTCCTCCAAGAGTTTCAAGATGTCTTTCCGGAGGACCTACCTGACCATCTACCCCCACTAAGGGATATTCAACATGCCATAGACTTCGTCCCAAGGGAATCCTTCCCAAATTTGCCTCATTATTGATGAATTTTACCGAGCACGCTGAACTTCAAAGGCAAGTGGATGACTTCCTTCACAAAGGATTCATTCGTAAGAGTTTAAGCCTGTGTGCCGTCCCTGCCCTATTGACGCCCAAAAAGGATGGTTCTTGGAGGATGTGTGTTGATAGTCGCGCGATCAATAGGATCACGGTGGAGTATCATTTTCCCATTCCTAGACTTGACGATATGTTAGATATGATGGTTTGTGCCACAATCTTTTCGAAGATTGATCTGAAGAGTGGGTACCATCAGATTCGAATTCGCCCATGTGATGAGTAGAAGACCGCGTTTAAGACGAAAGATGGTCTTTATGAATGGCTGGTCATGCCTTTTGGGCTAAGTAATGCGCCAAGTACCTTTATGCGAGTAATGACACAAACTCTCCGACCTTTCGTGGGAAAGTTTCTTGTTGTCTATTTTGATGATATCCTCATTTATAGTAAGACTAAGGAGCAACACCTTGACCACCTCACACAAGTTTGCTCTACCCTTCGTGCAACTAATCTATATGCTAACGTCAAGAAGTGCTCTTTCTTCATCGACACAGTCGTTTTTCTGGGGTTCATTGTCTCTTCGACAGGGGTATCCGCTGACCCTGCTAAGGTTCAGGCGATTATTGACTGGCTTGAACCTAAAGCTACTCATGACGTCAGGAGCTTTCACGGCTTAGCTACATTTTACCGTCGCTTTATTAAGGGGTTTAGCACTATTATGGTGCCTATTACGGAGTGCTTGAAGAAAAGGGAGTTTCATTGGACACAAGAGGCGGCTAAGGCCTTTAAGTTAGTCAAGAAGCGAATGACGGAGGCCCCTGTCATGCATCTTCTCGATTTTTCCAAAGTCTTTGAAGTTGAATGTGACGCCTCCGGGGTAGGTATAGACGGAGTCTTAAGTCAGGATCGTCACCCTGTTGCCTACTTCAGTGAGAAGTTAAATGAAGCCAAACAGCGGTACTCAACTTATGATAAGAAACTGTATGCAGTGGTCCAGGCTTTGCACTATTGGCGCCACTATTTGTTACCCCAGGAATTTGTCCTTTATTCGGATCACGAGGCTCTCCGTTACCTCAACTCCCAGAAAAGATTAAGTTTTAGGCATGGTCGTTGGGTCGAATATTTACAGGTCTATTCATTTGTTTTAAAACACAAGAAGGGCGTAGAGAACCAAGTAGCTGATGCATTAAGTCATCGTGTCTCCCTTTTGTCGATCATGAGTGTCAAGATCATCGGTTTTGAAAGACTTAAGGAAGATTACGAAGCATATCTCGATTTTAAAGATATCTTTCTTGATTTACAAAGGGGACAATCAGGCGCCATAGATTGCTTCCGACTTGAGGAGGGCTATCTCTTTAGAGCCAATAAATTGTGCATCCCTCGAACTTCAGTGCGAGATTTCATCGTGTGGGAAATTCATGCGGGAGGGTTAGCCGGTCATGTTGGACGTGATAAGACCATAGAGGAAGTTGAACGTCAATTCTATTGGCCTAACTTGAAGAAAGACGTGGCTAAGATTGTTAGTACTTGTAACACTTGTCAATTGAGTAAGCAGAACACAGATCTGTACACCCCTCTCCCTGTTCCTAATTGTTCTTGGCAAGATGTTAGTATGAATTTTGTGTTAGGACTTCCACGCACCCCAAAGAAGCATGATTCTATTTTTGTGGTTGTCGATCGCTTCTCAAAGATGACTCATTTTATCCCCTGTAGCAAGACGTCGAATGCGTCCAAGGTTGTCATGTTATTCTTTAATGAAATTGTCAAATTGTATGGGTTTCCCAAGACCATCGTGTCTGATAAGGATGTTCGTTTCACTAGCCATTTTTGGAGAACTCTGTGGCATAAAATGGGTACCAAATTGAAATTTTCTACGGCCTACTACCTTCAGACTGACGGTCAAACTGAAATAGTTAATCGAAGTCTTGATAACCTATTATGTTGTCTGGTCCGAAAAAACCTTTGAAATTGGGATTTGATCCTTCCTGTAGCTCAAATTGCGTATAATAGCTCCATAAATCCTTCATTAGGTATGAGTTCATTTGAAGCCGTTCATGGGTACAAGCCTAGGAAACTGTTAGATCTCATCCCTATGTCCCCATAGGCTAGAGTGTCAGTATCAGTCGAAGCATTTGCACAACATCTTCGTGACTTGCATATTGAGATCAATAATGCAAAATATAAACTCCACGCTGATTTACACAAAAGACATATTGAGTTTAACATTGAGATTACGTTATGGTTCGCATTAGGTCAGAGCGGCGTCTACATGGACTCGCCTCCAAATTGCAAGCTCGTAGTGCTGGTCCTTTTAAAATTTTAAAGTAGGTTGGTCCAAATGCATATATTGTTGATATTCCACCACACCTTGGTTACCACTCTACTTTCAATGTTGAGGACCTTGTAGCTTATAAAGGCCATTTCATTCCGTCAGACGATACTCTGTCATTTCCTTTTGTGAACCTTGATTCTGGTTCTTTGACCCTTTCTAACCCACTACCACCTCTCACAGCACACAAAGAAAAAATTGATGCTATTTTAGATGAAGAAACTGTGTTCACTAATGATGGAGAGGTTCAGCGTTTCCTTATTCGTTGGGTTGGTCGACCGGATTGTGACTGTGCATGGATCTCCAGGGAGACACTACAGCAATTGGATCCAGATTTATTAGAGTTTTATCGGAGTTAGCAGGATCTTCATTGGCCCAGATCGCCTCCCGTCCACCCGAGGGGAGTTGGTGAGGACACCAGGTTCAGACCGCCACTGACGCATTTCTACAGAAACCAGAAGAAGCTTGCCCAACCACTCAACTTATGGTTGAAAGATTGACAGAAGCCTATGGTGATATAACCACTCGACAGGGTCGAGTTTTCTCTCTTACCCCGGGAGAATTGATGAGGGCATCCCAGTTTTAATTATTTTAGTTGGACTTTAATTTCTTAGTTGAACTTTGATTATTTTATTTTTATAGACTTGTGTATTGAGCTTGGCCCTATCTTTTAGGTTTACAGTATTTTCAGTATTTAAACCCACTATACATTGTAATTGAGACAAAGAATTGATTGAATAAAAAGTTGGCTGCAGCCCCCGTTTTCTCCCTCCCCTCTCTTCCCCTGGTTCTTCTCCTCTTCTCCCTTCTCTCTCGTAATTTTCTGTCCACTTTCTTCTCCCTCTCCTCCCCTTTTTGTTTTATCCTACATCACAGTGTCTCGTAGAACTAACCTGTTCGTAGAACATTCCGTGTCTTGTTGGACTATCATGTAAGTAGTAAAACAAACTGAAATTACATATTACGAAAATTTATGAAGATTTTTGACAAAACGAAATAGGCAAATGAGATTCGAAATGAAATATTGGAAAGATATATTCTGCCTTCTAAAACAAATAGGCACAAGGGGACAACTTCTTGTTCAATACAATTCCCTCAAGGTCTCAATAGCTGACTGAAAACCAGATCGTAAAGGCACAACTGATACCACCCGCAGATGTTGAGCATTACCATTCTTTGGTTTTGAAAGTGTCACTCTCAACATCTCTCCCTCCAGAGCCTTACTGGCCGTCACAGCTGCAGAAAACATTTTCCAGTCAGTGGAACAAGCCGAATATATCCAATTTGAAACTGCAAACGGCAATCACGGGAAAGAAAAAGGAGATTCAACCTCAAGCCTCAAGCATCACTACAACCTGATCCTAATTTCTCCCAAAAGGAATGTTAGTAAAAACTTAGCTTGCCTATTTATCACTACACTTATTACATTAAGATTTTTTAATACATAGCTGGAAGTTTGGATTTGAACTGTAGTGACAAAAATTATGTTATCTTCATTTATAAGAATTCAAATTCATAGTGGTTCTTATAATGCAAAAGTAAGTCTCCAGGGCCATGGCAACCTCTTATCATAGCCAAAGCTAAGTTTTCTATTTAACATAAGAAGCAGGATTAGTTTTTAGGATTAAGTGTCTTATAAATTATAATGCTATATGGGTCACTTCAGCAGAGCTGAAGTCATTAACCAGTATTATCTGCTTAATCTGCATCCCTAAAATCTAACGCAACTTCCATATATACAAGCTAAAAGAATCTATGGACAAAATGTGAATTAAAATAAGTAAAGAGAAAAAGTAATACCAGCAAAGGGGTGAGTCTTGGCAAAATCAAAGAACTCATCAGCAGAGCAACCAAACAGCACTCTAGCAGCCCTATCAAACATTATCACCACAAACACCTTCGTATCAGTAGCTATAGACATCTGCAAACACCAAATAAAACTATTTAAGTCCAAAAAATGAAGCTTACAGTTTTCTAATGATAATTAATAATCACAACAATATATTTCATTTACATTTTTTCAAGGAAAAAAATAACATAAATGTTCCAAGAAAGTTAATTTTTCTAGGATATAAATCCACAAACACATTTCAATAAAACCTTAAACTAATGTTTTTACCAAATAGACTTTTTATTTAAAAAAACTTCTGTGAATACTTACAAGGACTCGAAAGAGGCGCTTGGAGCCAGATGAACCCGGGTTGAAGGAGTTGTTAAAATTGCAGTATTTGCAAGCGTTTGTGTTGTCAGAGAGAGTTTTTTCACAGACAGAGCAGACTCTGTAACAGAGGTTGGTGTGATCAATGGCCACCAGTGTGCCTATTAGGGTTGTTGGCTTATCAATTTCCACCAGGGGCCTTTTCCTGGGGTTTGTGCTCGAATTCTGGTTTATGGGCTCCTTAGAATTCATGATTTTTTTTTGCACTAATCTTCGCTTGCTTACTAGGGACGAGATGAAAGGGGATTAGAGGATTGCTGGTTTGCAAGATTTCACGGACTTGCTTTGCGTTGTGCACGAATATTTTTAAGGGAGAATTGCATCATGGTCCTAAACCTTTCAAATTGTTGCAGATTATACTCAAATCTTATTTGTTTGCATCTAGGGTCCCAAACCTTTCAGTTCGGTTACAACTAGAGGACATGTGGAAGGAATCTGTCCATTCCTCCACCAGTTGATCAAATCATTAAAATTTTGACAATTAAGTGTAGGGTAAATTGTCTAGTTACTATTCTCACTTTTAAAATCATAATGGCAATTATGTTTATACGTGTACCACTAATTGAATGGGAATGAGCACTATACACCATTCACAACATTTGCTTGTGCATAAGGTGTTGTGTTCGAATTTTGTTTTGACCATTATCTCTATTGTAGTATTCACTAAGTTTTGGGTATATTTTATCTATATCAAAATTTTAATTTTTTGGTCAACTGACGAGAATAGGCAGAATTCGTACACATGTCCTCCAACTGCAATCAAGATGAAAGGTTTGAGACTCCAACTACAAAAATGAATGGTTTGGGTATAGTATGATGCAACAATTTGAAAGATTTGAAACTCCAGCTATAATTCTCTCTATTTTTAAAGAAACTGTTATTACAAGTGAAATAGATGAAAATTATCATTTAAAATACCATTTTGAACAATAATTATATATATTTATAAAAAATGTTTCGGAATTCATTTAAAAAAGCCTTGGTAAAGAGAGAGAAGTGAAAAAGACCCGAGTATAACAATTTTTGTTTAAAACATTTATTTCATACAATAAATTGTTAAAATCTTGATTACTCTTTATATCAACACAAATTGACAGCTCAAAGAGACTTATCTAGAAGTGCCTCACCCACTGCGTTGTTCAAGCTGATATATCGTGATCCTTCATTCGAAAGATACTCTGATAAAATTCTTATCAGATGTTGGTCGTCTCATCAGAGGATCATGATGGAAGGCTAGGCGAAAATCATTAAGAAAAAACAACATTTGAATGAAAAGAAAGAGAGACTATTTTGATACACAGTCCAGTTGGATCAACAGCTTTAGAAAGAAGAAACATTGGTGGAATGATGGTACATATTTTGCTGAAGAGTCTTGCCATCCTTGGAGAGAGATGTAGAGCTGAAGTTAGAGACATGTTCCAATATAGTAAATGGATCCACGTATATTCCCAAATAAGAAATTAGTGGATCTGCTCGAGACTTGTCAATAACAAGCCTCAGCTTACTGGATTCAACTTTCCCAAATCTTAACAGCCTCTTATATCCCACAGTGGTACCACGTACAACCTCTTCCCATTCACCTTCTTCATTCAAGAAGTCTAGATGGAATTCTATAATCCGCTGACCCATATGGATTGGCTCTTGCACTAGCAATATATTGAAAGTAACAGACTCTTCGAAGTCTAAATTTAACGCCCAGTTTGATTGTGCCTTATCAGGAGCCCAGTACGAATAGATACCTTCCTCAAGAACATTGTGAGGACCATAATGGGAATCATTTGGAACCCCTCTTACACTGCTTGCAGAAATAAGAGCACCTTTCGCTAGATTGTAGGAAAATATGGATTTACGGATCTCTGAAAATTCCTCAAGGACTCTTATGTCTTCCTGGGGTATAAGACCTGAAGAATTTGGAGGCACGTTTAATAACAAGAGACAGTTTCTTCCAACTGACGTGTAGTACAAATCAAGCAGAGTGATCGCAGATTTTGGTGCTTGCGATGCATGCCAAAACCATTCAGGTCGGATGGAGACGTCACACTCTGGAGGTACCCAATCATGGCCAAGAGGATCTCCTTCTCCAGAATATCTGTCACGTATATATATATAAAAAACAATTAAGTGTGACTATGCATGTGCACACCATCATTGGAATAAAATGGCATTATGGAAGATGCTTTCTCATTCTTACGAAAAAAAATTGGATTTTGGCTATCTCGTACTCTAATTAGTATGACTGAAGTTGATTGACATCATTAAGTAAAAACTCGACCCTTTTTCTTGAGGTAGACAATGAGAAGCACAGCCAACCAATACCATTTTCATGTATGCTAAATCAATAGGTAGGTAGAATGTCAAAATTAATAATAGGGAAACCCATTCCACAATTTGCAATAAGGAATTATACAATAAAACAAAATTTAAACCTCAATCTCTTTGGCAAGTTACATATATCAGCTTAAACGCACTGCATATTTTTTCTAAAATGAAGACCTATAATCAAACTATGGATTATGGGCACACAATGTGAGACTGAACTTTCATTATGAATTCGCTAGTTATATCTTAAACCGAATTAAATGGAATGGCCAAGGCCAGACGCCCATTGATTGAGCTTGGTGCAGATCACAACTAAGGCACCATCAACGCATAAAAGTTCACTTCCCTTACAAAATCTTATAGAACAAATTGGATATGAGTTCGATTTTTCCAGAGGGCTACTAGGATACATGAGAATTCACTTCGAATGAGCCAATTAATCATTTTCTACTTTGCAGATTCTGCTATAGGATTGAAGTTTTTTCTTGATGATGGAATTTGAGAAGTAATCTACTGGGAGCCAGATTCAAAACTCAAAATTAATGTTTATGATTTTCTTGACATGCATGAATCTGAAAACATTGAAGGGGGAAATATTTTTCACAACAAAGCAAGTAAAAGATAGCACTGAAATAGTGTAAAAGAAGAGGACTAACTTAGGATCAGTATCCCCAATCTTAATGGCACTTCTATTGAAAAGAGACCAGCATGTGGTCCCTGCAACACCAGATTCATCTCCAACCCACCTTGTGTCTGGACCATCATCGGAAAATATGACTGCCCCCGGCTGAATCTGATGAATGAGACTAAACCAATCATCAAAAAAATATTCCATATCCTTCTCTCCCTTCCCCTTAGCACTATCCAACCAAACTTCTCTTATTTCACCGTATCTGCTCCAATTCAAGTGAGACAACAAAGTTAGTTCATGTATAATTCAAAATTGAATGAGATTCAACATTTTACACGAGATTCAACGTGAGATATATTAAATAAAAGGAAGTACGAAACCCAAAAACAGGATGCCCAAATACACGACTGTGGACTGCCAATATGTGGCACAATTTATGTAGAAACTTCCAGAAATCACGACTCATGTTTTTTATGCCCTAATATGCTGTATAATTTTGTTAATTTACAGCTGTATTATTGACTAAGCTATTATATGTATGTAAATTTAGTTTTCTTGAGTCTCTGTAGACTGAAAATGATTCGTTCCTTCTATGTTTCTGTATAATCCTTGTCCACCAAGTTCAGAAGGATGAAATGTTCATTAGCCAGTATTAGATCCATGAAGATCAGTTTTTTCTTTATCCATTTGCCAATACAAGAATCATATAGTTACAGCCTTAATCACTGGTATCTCCTAGTGTCTACCTTTATTAGCATATGTGTATTTTCTGGTCTTGTTCAAAGAAACTCCTTGATTCGGAGATCCATGAATTATCAAGGCTGAAGTATTTGAAGTAACTCCAACCTTGATTTTTCTCCAGACAATATTACAAACCAGGTTATGGGAGAATCAAAATCCATACAATGCATTCAAACTCGAAGGAGGAAATTATTTGGAGGGGTTTCAATAGGTGAAAACACATCTGAGAGGAAAATGAATGTTATGCCCTCTAATAACCAGAAAGTAGCAAAAGGGGATACTAAATTCACCATCTAGGGTGAGGAGGATTTATCATATTATGCCCTGTTAATCGGTTGAACTTGCAAGTCATTCTCCAAGCAGTAATTAATGTTACAATGTTTAACAAGAGACATATTCAATCCATCTATCTCAATTGAGATATCACCTATTAGAATTATCATCAACATAAACTATAAGCATAGCAATCTGACCATCCATTGCATGCTTAAAAATCTCAGTCCAGTCACCTTGATTTAGAGTGTAGCCCATTCTTAAAACAGCTTCGGAAAATCTTTCAAAGCAAGCTCTTAAGGAATTAATTTTAAATTTGCAAACTTTATAAATCCAAATGACTCCTCAAAATTAGGTGGAATCATTTATACAAACCTCTTCGCGTAATACAGTAAGGTATGCATTTCTGCATCAAGTTGTTGCAAAGGCTAATTATAGTTAGAAGCAAAAAGTATTTAATTTTGAACAATATTCACCACAATACAATCCTAACCCATAACAACACAATTCCAACATCATACCAAAAATTCAGTTAAATTCCAAATTAATTGAATATAAATAGAACCCACATCATAAATCAACAAAAGAAGCACAAAGCAAGAAACTTTACAGGACCTAGCGAGCAACTCGGTCATCTGCCCCATATAATACTCGTTGTACTCAAGAGTCTCCCCATAGGTAGGCTCGTGTCTATCCCAAGGAGAAACATAAAGTCCCAACTGCACTCCAGCTTTCCTAGCAGCTTCTGTCAACTCTTTCACCACATCACCAGCCCCATTCCTCCAAGAGCTAGACTTCACAGAATAATCAGTATACGCAGAGGGCCAAAGACAGAACCCATCATGGTGTTTTGCAGTTAGTATAACTCTTGAAAATCCATTGTCTTTGGCCACATGGACCCACTGCGTGGCATTGAATGAAGTGGGGTTGAACACTGATGGGTCTGCATGCCCTGTCCCCCACTCCAAGTCTGTGAATGTATTGGTACCAAAGTGCAAGAACATCGCCATTTCTGTGAGTTGCCATGAGATTTGCTGTGAAGTTGGAATCGGAAGAATTGGAATTGGAGGAGGTGTTGGATGGGATGAAAGTAAGAGGGAAAGTGAGGTATGGGATGTGAAATAGTAGATTATGATAGTGAGAATAATGGGTTGTCTGAATTTAAGGTTGTTTTTGAAGGGTTTTCCACTTTGATGATCAAGTGGTGTTTTCTTGATCATCTTTCTTTGATGGGATGAGAATTGAAAGAATCCCTCTTTTTTGGTACCAAATTCAACTTCCTAGTTTCCCTTTTTGTCCTCATTTGTTTCTCATAATTTAAAACCTTATTTCTCCCATATGATTTGAAGCATATTCATTATTCTGTGGTTTTTCTTTTCTTCTGTTTTTTCTGTTTGTTTTTTTAAGCTTTCTTGATTACTTAAAAAACAATTAAAAAGGAAGAGTTGTTGAGGAATCATCATCCATCATCATTATCACCAAAAAAAAGTGTCAGCCTTTAGTGGGTTCGAGGGGTTGGGCCGAAGTACACTTAACTCTAGTCCAAACAATAATTGGGCCTCCGTCAATGTCTGGGCCAAGTCTTGAAATTTCCGAAAAAGTTCAAAATTTGTATGTCAAAATAACAAAAGAAAATGGTACTTTTTGTTTTGGGAAATTTATACAAATATGAAAGAAAAAGGGATGAAATTGAAAGTATTATTTTTGTTAAGCCTCTATCTGGTAGGGACTAAAATCTATATTTTGATTTAAGTCGAAGTCCACGATTAATTTTAATAATATATTTATTGCCCCCCACAACTTTTTTACTACACATTTCAACAGCATTTATCAAAATGTACTGAAATTTTGATTTATCAACATGTACTAAAATTTTGATTTTAATTCCTACTAGACAAGAATTAAATATTATTACGTTTCGACGTTTATAAGAAATTACAGCAAAATTTTAAAACTTACACTTTGTGCTATTTGTGTTTCCATGTATGGAATTTTTTAAATTGTTACTTACACTATGTACCATACCTTGTTAACCGTTAATGTATGCTAATCTTTGTTACAACTACAAACAAGAGACTTAAAGAAGTAAAATGATAGCTCATTCGCCAAGATTAATAATAGCGTGTTCCGTCTCCAAGCAAGAAATGAAATGACCAGCAAAATCGAGTATTACACCAAACGTAATTTTGCAAGCATTGATCTCATCGTGCCAAATATCGAACATAATTAATTGGTTAATCCCATAAATTGCACTAGTACTCCACAAATCCCAAAACTAACAAATTCCAGTACAAAATATCTCGATCTAAATTCAAGTGCATGTAGCTATCACCATTGCTTCTTCACTTAACGTCATTTTATTGATTTTATCGAATTCGAAACAAAAATAAATTGATTAAACAAACCATTCTAATTGAAGAACTTTCTTGTTTATCGTGAAACAAGCAGCATGCACTAAAATCAACCGATCTCATCTTTTCTCTGAGAATATATTTGGCTGATACATCAAGTTTTATAACTATATTATAACTTATCAAATGTAGCTTTCATAAAAAAAAATATGTACATGTAAAAGAATGACAGAAAATTACATACACTAACGAAAAACTCTTAGGCTTGAGAATAAAGTTCTTTTTTCTTTTTCTGAAAACAATTCCATCCGATTTTTGGACATATAACATATTACAATATTTATTAATTCAACTGATTTTGAACTTTATCCCCAAATATTGTTGGAAATATGGTTTACACAAAGGGGATGGAGAACAAACAAAGAACAAATAATAAGAAGATGAAAATGAAGGCTTAAACATGTAATCGTTGTCCTCAAACGATATTTGTCCTCTCTCGAACTAAATTTGATTTTTAAAGGAACTCTTGATAAATGATTTGCAGGATTTATCAAGTCTTAAAAAAGTTAACAATTAAACACTGGTGAAATCCCTTTTGCAACTCAAGCAAACGAGATTTTGAACATGAAGAGAGGAATGAATATTAATACTTTTGGAATGAGGATTTGATCTCAAGCGTTTCTATATCATTTGTGTTAATCATCAATCATCTGTTTATAGGCATCAATTAATGCTTCATGAATTGGTGCCAAAACACACAAACTTAATGGCTAATTGATTATTCTATGTGCCCTCATAGAACAATCCTATGTGGTCACATAAAACAAAGCCTTGCAGGGTGTATATGCGACTGCAGCCCTTACAGGCCTATGCAGTCGCATAGGCTAATACTTTGGCTTCTAATTCCATTTTCATTCAATATTCTTTTATTGATTTTGAACAACAATGTACAACAATCTCCCAATTCTTTAATATTCAATAAAATCTCATGTTTCTCTCTTCATACCCAAAATCTTTTGTTCTTGAGTTGTAAAAGGATTTCACTAGTACTTAAGCGTTAATTCTTTTCGAGGCTAGATAAATCTTGCAAACCATTTGCCAAGAGTCATTTAAACACCAAATTTAATTCAAGAAGGGACAAATATCGTTTGAGGACAACTATTACGTGTTTAAGCCTTCATTTTCATTTTCATCTTTTTGTTATTTGTTCTTTGTTTCTTCTCCACCCCTTTGTGTAAACCATATTTCCAACAATCTTGCGATCGCATAGATATAGAAATAGTTGAGATCAAATCCTCATTCCAAAAAGTATTGAATATTCATTTCTCTTTTCATATTCAAAATCTTGTGTTCTGGAGTTGCAAAAAGGATTTCACTAGTGCTTACGTGTTAATTCTTTTTAAGGTTTGATAAATCCTACAAATCATTTGTCAAAAGTCAATTTAAGCATCAAATTTAATTTGAGAGAGAGCAAATATTGTTTGAAGACAACGATTACGTATTTAAGCCTTCATTTTTATTTCCATTTTCTTGTTATTTGTTTCTTCTCTACCCCTTTGTGTAAACCATATTTCCAACAAATATTACATAGTTGTAACTAACCATAATTTATTTATTAGAAAAAGGCATATATTTCATGTCTCTTTGGGTTGCATCACAAGCTTTTAATTTTTCAATAATTAGCAAGACTTGATACATAACAATTAGGGTCCGTTTGATTACAAATGTGGAAAAGGCAAACCAATTTCATGAAATTGGAAAAGAAAATATCACCAAAATCATAGGAATGCATATTCCATGGAATTAGCCAAAAACATGTTTTAAGTGATTGTATCTTGGAATTCGAACTCAATTTTCACTTTCGTATCAAACAGTCAAATTAAAAAAAAAAAAATTCGAATGTGACATTTTCATGGAATTCACTCCAATCAAAAGGAAACTTACATTTTTTTTGGTAGAGATACAACATGAGCAGGCTAGCTTGGACTTATAAACAGAGCATATTCATGTCCAAAGGATTTAGCCTTAGTCAAACTTTTAGCAGGTTGGATTGGGCTTTTGGCCCTTGGACACCTATCCGAATTCCATATTTTGTTCGAACATGGAATCTTTTTGTTACCATTCAATTGCATATATTTCTTGTACTCATCTGGGGCAAACCTTAACAATCCGGTGCTTAAACTCATCAAATAAATTATTATGGGAAATAAGATAAATTCGACCGAAAATCTTAGAGACTGTTACAAGACAGCTCGACCACACATTGCCACTAGGGATTGTATGTTTGTTTACCAATATCAATTGCCTATAACACATTATTATTTAGAGATGGCAAATAGAAGGAGAATTTATTTTTATTTTTTAGCAACTTTAGCTATTAGATATGACAATATGTTGCAGGCATAATCCATGCGGGCTAAGTTATTGACAATACTATTTTATTTTGAATGAGACTCCAAGAACAGGAAAAGTTTAACAGAACGTGTAACGATGGTGATGTGATAAAATGTGATTGTGCTATTTTTTTTTTTTTTCCAATGATGCAGCTCCATGTATTATTTGTAGGGATTTTCTGTCAAAAAATTATGTACATAGTACGATTGTTTTACTTTTACGTATTCACGGGCCAACCTACTTATGCAATTTGACATATTTTAAGCTACCAATATAACAGAAATCACAAAATTAGAGATATTATATGAACTTGCACCAAAATGGGAATACAAAATGTCTCTTGAAATTTGTCATATCATTATTTTGGTATGGTGCCCAACTACAAAATTGAAAAGCTTGCCTTGACCCACTTATAACCCGACCCGTTGACAATGGGTTCACTTGAGACTTGAGTTGCATCTGCATAATATGAAATTCAAAAGGCAAACCAAGAATCCACCAACCAAATCTGACTTACACACCATGAAATGGATTGATTTCGATTTGATTGATTTGATTCGTTCAAATATTATGATTTGGCTTAATTTAAGAGTCCAGCCTTCGATATCGTATCCACAGGAAGGGATACCAAACAAGCAACCCTCATGCAATAATGCTGCCAAAAGTGCAAGACAGCTTTCGACTTTTTCAGGGCATTTAAATAATAAAAGTTTGAAACCCAAATTTTCAATAGTCTTACACTAATATATTACATAGTTTTCCATAAATTATTTGTCCGGAAATTTGAACAGTATTTGTCAAGACGACTTCATTTATTAATCTAAATTAACAGAAGTCAATTTAACTGTATTAATAAATTAAACTATCATACTTTTATTACTTAAAAAATCATTGCATATTAACATTAGTATATAAATTTCATGAAAGTAAATTCACGTCTAATCTTGTAGCGTCCAATAAGTCTGTGTGTACAGACTAATGGTTCACAGAACCATTACAAGACAATCACATGCAGGGTAGGTATTTTTTTCCAATTTTTTACTCATATGGGGTGAGTGTTCGGTACTACCGTACAAGTAGGATTTTGTAGTGCCTGCCCAGAGTAAAATTCCCTATGACTTAAATGGAAAAAATAGCATGCTTTAGAACTTGTCTTCGAACTTGTTAATATTTTTTCTTACATTGTTAGCCTGTTAGAAAATAAGAAAGGATAATATAAATGCATATCCACATTATGCGAAGTGTATGTTCTTTTCCATAAATTGCATTTAGATTCTTGAACTCTTGATTTCTTGTGTTCGGAGTTCTAAACCTTTTAAACATATGCTGTTGAAGTCCTTTCGTAACAAAAATGGTTAATTTAAATCAAGTAAAATAATCGTTGTACTCTTAATTTGATTTAAAATAAATAAAAAATAAAAGAGAGAAAAAAAATACAAAAGAGTAAGTCCATCTTTGGTTTAATTAAATTAAAGACAACAATTAATTTTGATCACATATTTCATCAATTGTTATCAAATATACTAAAAATCTGATATCTATCTAAAACAAACAAGAGCTAAAAGAAACAAAGAAAACCGAAAACCAAAAAAAATAAAGAATAAGAAAAGTACTAACTGAAACACCCCCACTCCGAT